AAAAGTAATACAAGTCATTTAACCCTTTACTTCATATAACTGCCTTTTGACGTCTCTATACGATTCACATATCGACTACTCCACCTAATTCGCATACAGTGCCTTTTGATGCCTCTACACCATCAGCATGTAGCATCTTTAGACCATAAGCATCTGCCATTTAAACGGGTTTTTCGTAGCACCTTCTTCAGGGAAAACCCACTATTAAAATCTACATTCACTGGTGAGAATGACCATTATGTCAGATCATGTGGTAGCTGTTTATGCAATAGATCAAATCTGCTACTTACAGTAACTGAGTCCTGTTCTCCATGCTCCAAAATGGAGGTCAAAGATTTTGATCAAATACTTACTCAACTTTTCATGGTTTGAATCACAATTACAAAAGCTTCAATAATTTAGATAAAGACTGATATTGATGTATGCAGCAATTATTTTTTTTTTATAAATTATTAAATTCAGATGATTTAGTGACATAGATGCAGACCAAGAACTTGTAAATTTCAATAATGAGAAATCACAGCTAAGGTTGGTCATGCGGCTTCAATTACATAGTGGTGAATGAGTTCTCTCAAGATTTTAAGGTATATAAAAAAAAATTTCGTTAAAAATAAATATACAGCTAGAGTGCTACCTGCTTATGTCGACATAAATCTTTGAGGGGGTGTCGGAAAAAAGATACAAGTTAAACCACAGAAGATTGCAGTTTTATCAATAAAGCATGACAAATTTTCTGACATGAAATCCCCTTCACGCTATTATGATATTATATTATTCTAATACCGTTAAGGTGCTTACACGTCAGAAATTTTGTGCTTTATTGATAAAACTAAAGACTCATGTGGTTAAACTTGCACTGAGGCTAGATGACAATGATCCGTAATCATCATGAGCGCATTAGACCACTCTGCCACTGTATATGAAGACAAAACCAGTAAAAGACACTTATATATTGACAAATTACATTTTGGTTACCTTTTGTGTAATAATATCCACAATAAAATATTGAATCGGTCGCATCCTGATATGCAAAGTCATTATGATATTCAATGTCGGTATCAAATATTTACATACTTCAGGTACATGTACTTAAATTGGCCTAGATTTTGGTTAGTCTGTTTCCATCTTACTTAGGCTACTAAGGGAATGGGGCTGTTCACAGAAAAATGAAAACATGTCAACAAGTTGATTTAAACAGTACATGCATTTAGTTACAGAAGTCATGTGAAAAGTACATAAAATCAAACAAGAGATATGCGGCTGGTATGATTAATGAAGGCATACTATTGTATTCATTGACACGTACTAATGAGGTATTAAAAGAAAATGGTTCTTACAACACAATATTGTAACAAAGTCAGCTCAATACATTTAAAATTTTTCAGACATCTTTGCGAGATGCCCCACCCACCACTTACTTTAACAGCCAGATATTTAGTTTCCATAGACTATAAAATGAATCTGCGTTTACACTGCCGTTGGTAGCAATCATAAATAAAAATAAAGTTAAAAAGGAAACTTCCACAGCACAATAAACCTGTTTTAATCACCAATTACTTGGGAAAATGCAAGAATCAGATTTGATTGCTTTTATTTAAGTCACCACAAGAGGTTAACTTTATAGGACCAAACAAAAGCCTGTTGGTTTTTTTATCTGACCGTGACATTAAAGCCTGTCAGCAAAATCAACTAATTGTTGAATAAACAATACATGTCAAAACTGGCCAATGCCGACATAAATGATAAGGTGGTAAAATTAAAGTCTGGTGGCAAGATCAACTAATTATTGAACAAAGAACTGGTAGCTTGTCAACATAAATGATAAGACAACAAAGGATTTGTTCAAGCTGGGACCAAGGGATTCTGTCGACATAAACATTTTTTTATCTTAATGTCGAAATAAGCATGAAATTTTGGTAGTAATAGTTGACCAAGGGACCGGGACTTTGCTTTTTTGTTGAGATAGGCGGCTTGTCGACATAAGTGGGTAGGACTGTATAACAAAGGGATTTTACTCTTAAACCTTTGTCATACATAATATGTGTACCAAATATGTAAAATTGCTGTTAAAATCAAAACATACTACACTGCTTAACTGTTAACAGGCAAACCTATGTGTATGGACTTGAATATCTATGTAACAGGTATTCTATTTATAGCACACTGCTCTTGGGGAACTTTGCTGTATGTGTATCGAAGGGCTAAAACGCCTCACACTATGAGATAAAGGGTTATTGATATAACAGTAACCATTTACATCTTGAAGAGATTCTGCAAAGAAACATTTAACGCTGACAAGTGTCTATTCCGAGTTCCCTCTGACCCATGACACCCCATTTTTGATATTAGTTTTTTTTATGCTGAGGTGTCCACTCCTTATCAAAAAGTTGGAATTCGCCAACACCATTTGGTGCTATCATACGGTTCTTGCCTACTATCAGGCCTAGCAAACTTAAATGACCTTACATTGACCCATACTTACATTAAATCAATAGGGAAATCATTATTTTCTCAGAAATTACAAGCATAATACCGATTTTGTTTTTGATCTGTTGTCAGAGACAAAACTACATTGTTGATGTATTTTGATCTCGTCTCGTACCATTTGCATTGCTAGTCACATGATTAGCAAATCTCGCAGCCGATATGCATAAACGTGTCGGTGAATTCCAACTTTTTGATAGGGAATGGACTCTGACCCTATACCTCAACATAAAAAACCAAATATCAAAAATGGGGTGTCAAGGGTCCGAGGAAACTTCGACTAACATGTTTCTTGCACACAGTGCAAACACATATGGACCCATACTTACATTAAATCAATAAGGAAATCATTTATCTTCTCAGAAATTACAAGCAAAACACCGATTTTGTTTTTGTTCCATTGTCAGATAAGACAAAACTAGTGCTGATGAATTCTGACCTCGTCTCGCACCATTTGCATTGCTAGTCACATGGCTAACCAAATCTTGTGGCTGATATGCACAAACATCACAAGTCAAATAGTGTTGGTGAATTCAACTTTTTAATAGGGAATGGACTCTGACCATACCATACATAAAAATACCATACCATACCATACCCAACATAAAAAACCAAATATCAAAAATGGGGTGTCAAAGGTCATAGGAAACTTGGACTAACATGTTTTTTGCACACAGTGTAAACACATATGGGCATGGGTCAATTTTATATGTGCATTGAAATTTTTAAAAGAAAACCTACAGCAGCAGACAGTATTAAAATGGATTTTAAACTGATATGAGTTAAATGTATTTTTACAACCCTAAAGCAATGAGAGATTCAAATATGTTTTGGACTAAATATTATTGGCTTAAATATGAACCAAAAGGATTGAAAATAGATGACCTGTAATGAAGTTAAATTCACCATGTAAGATTCTAATATTGTGCACACAAGCAACTGGCTTTCTGCCCTTAAAACTAAACACAAATAACTTTATCTTACCTCAGTTTCACATGTTACTGCATCTGGTAGTGTTGATGCAACAGGTATCACTTCTGTCTTTGATGGTATGCATAATGCAACAACTTGTGGTCTACCTTTCTTTGTTGCATCTCTACCACTGCCTCCATTTAGATCAACAATTTTGCTGAAGTCGTACTTTTCCTCACTGACACAACAACATTTTTTTCATTAAGTCTGATGCTCTGATTCTCTTCTACAATTAAGATAATCTTAATTTAAATATTTACATACCAAATAAAAATGTGCCACATGATTTTAAACTGCCAAACAGACTGATATAATTGTTTTTTGGTAAACACAATTTCCAAGATATCCAATTAGGTGAAACTTATGCAGGTAAGTAAGTAGTAGGAAATTGCTAAATACTGATGCAATATGGCATTTGAAAGACATCATGATTTGGGAAAAACATTTAGAGGTTATCACTTACTTTAAATAGGTATCAACAATCAGTAACAGACTTTATTGTCCATAAAACTGATACTTGCATAATTCAAGACTGTTCAATAAAGACAAATTTTGTCAAAAGAACAGATGCACAATTCACAAAGCCGGTACTGTTCTATGCAGACAAACTATGTCTATAAAGCAGATTGACAACTCTTGGAACCACGCTGATCTATAAAGACAAATTTTGCCTATCAAACATATATACAGTTCACTAAGCAAAGCCTGTTCTATGATGAAAAATTTTGTCAACAGAACAGATATAGGATTTTGTTTGCAGAACAGATGAATTTATTTTATGAAAATGGGGCTGTTCTATTAATACAAATTTTGTCAAAAAGAACAAATGCAGATTTCATAACATTTACTTGACTTCAAATTTTGTAAACAAAACAGGATTACCTTTCACGATCTATGAATTTTTTTTTTTTTTTAAAGTTCATCTTAACATAGATATATCATCCACCAGGGCCTGTTTTATGAAGAAAACTCGCGTCCATAAAACGAAAGTACATTGCATACGTGCATATTTTTCTTAAGAAACACGCTGAATAGTAATTGTACGTAAATACAAAGTTGTCAAAATATTAATAATGTAATTTCAATAAGCAGCGACTAATTTACTAATGAGCAGATATATCAATCGTACTTATACCTAATATTAGTTGAATTTTAAAGCAATTTCAGCGATGTAAGCACATTTTTAACTGCTAAATGAACTATGTAATAGTGTAAACATGTATAGAATTTGATAAAAGAACGATAAACATTCGTACCTTTTTGGAAGACGCCATTGTTGTTGTTACTAAATATTGCGCATGCTCAGGTATAAGAAGCGTTAAAACGTCACTGTTCTATGCGTTCCGTTCTGGGACATTTTTTTTGTCCACTAATATACCTCATTATAACCCAAATGTCAACACCACGCTGCTAACGGCATGCTTTTGTGAGCCCCACTTATTTTTAGTCGACAATTTTTTTGTTATCGCGTTGTCGGTCAGCCAAGATTTCACCAAAATGGCAGGTGGAAACCAGATTTACCGTCTAGATGGTTAGACCGCTCCGGTGCCTAGTGGTTAGAGCGTCCGCCTTGGATGCGGGATTTCGTGGGTTCGATCCCCGACAGAGTCATACCAAAGACATAAAAATGGTACTAACAGCTGCCTCGCATAGCATTCAGGGGTTGGTGTTAGGACTGGTCGGCATGGTGTCAGGATAATGTGACTGGGTGGGATATTAATGCTACATACCTGTGTCATGATGTCCTAGTGCTAGACACCACTATAAACTGCCACACTGCAGTCATCGTAGCGATCTGATTAAAAAAATTGGTAAAGCTACATTAATATATCACACCTTCTAGATGGCAAATGGTGGTGGCCAAATTTTATTTTAATTATTGAAACAAAGCTGGAATTTTAAATTTGCCCTGACTCTTGGTTTGCTCCCTTTTCCTGCTAGGTGTATGTTTTACACTTGTCATAATCAGAACTGTCCAATCGAATAATGCCCATTATGTCCGTATTTGGTCAACCATGCAAACTGATTTTGGGAAAGTTATACTTTCAATTTGCAGATTCACAACGGAATTTCTTGCTTTGTTATTTTTTTTATTATCCTCCCCAATGTAATTAAAATAAACGACAACTGACCGGTTGCTGTTCTGAGAGCATAAAAATGAACTGCTATGCAATTGTCTACATCGCAGATTTTACATGACGGAGTCTCTCTCTCTCTCTCTCTCTCTCTCTCTCTCTCTCTCTCTCTCTCTCTCTCTCTCTCTCTCTCTCTCTCTCTCTCGTATATCTAAAACGTTGGTAATCTAAAGTCTACAATGGAGCCAATATACATGTACTGTTAAATATTATTAATGTTGGTGTTTCTTAGTATTTCTATGTAGAGTTATTAGGTGCTTGACCCCAATTTCACAACAATTTTCGAAGTACAATACTAAGAAGTTCTTGGACGCTTTGATTGAGTTATTAGATCTTTTCAGGGCGTAATTTGAAAGCTGAAGCTTCAAATATTTGCTTAATTACTGTCTCAGCGTCGCATAAACTTCCCAATATGTTGCACAAAATATATTACGAAGTTGATATTGTAGTCTCTCATCGGTGTTTAATAGCAGCAATAGCTTTTCTGAGAACATTTTTTTGTACCGCTGCTCCCTGTGTCCACTACAAATTTTAGCAACAGCCGCAATCACGTGACGACAAGACGCTGGCGGAGTTTCATACCATTGCTGATGAAATTTGACATTCCTTGGCAATCTTAAAGAAGGAAAAGAAGTCAGAATGTAAACTAACTTTCACATTGTAAAAGAATGGATTGATTAAATGTCTACATTGCATTAATTGCACAATATATAAATTAAATATTTACTAGAGCATTGTATTTGCTGCACCGAGCTGACATTGTGTATGGTCATCGAAACTCATGGGCATGGTTCTCTAATTTTGGCGCCAAATTTAGTATTAAGGAGGCCATGTGTACGGCCGAGGGCTGTTGAAAGTATCATGTATCTGTTCAAGTTTAATGCAGGCAGCATAGTTATGCGTGCTTTTTATATGGGGATCGAAGGGGTTACAGATTCCTAAAAAGTATCCACAAGGCGTCCTCCATATAATAGACGAAAAAAATCGATGTGCACGAACAGATTGTAATGCACGAATTTTCAGTGCAATAACTTAAAAGATACAACTGATGATAATCCTATGCTTTATGTTAAGCTCTAGCCTGATAAAATGTCTTGCTTTATGATAATCACATGGTTCATGATAATCCCGTGCATGTTGAAAAGCATTTGCTTGAAGTATGGGCGGCCGTTTTGACTCTTATTAAATACAGACCTCGGTATTTATTTAGAGAGGTCTTTAATAGGATTAGTGACCTCCAAAATTAAAGATCTATATCTATACCAATTGTAGAGGTCTCAAATTCATTTAGAGTCTTTATTAATTATTGACCTCTAACTAAATTGTAGACCTTTGTAATGGAATTATAGCACAGTTGCAGATGTCTCTAATAGAATTAGAATAGAATTAGAGACCCTTCTAGTTTGGCATTGTTCAGAAATCAGCAAATGAATTGTAGAAGTCTGTAAATTAATTATAGTTCTCTCTAATTTAATTACATACCTCATTAATTTGAAAATGTCTCTTAAATATTGTTTCCAGGTTTCCAAAGACATTGGAGAAATTATTAGTGTTGAAATGAGACCTTAACATGAAGCTATATGCAGAATTTATATTACAGATTTCTCTAATTTTATTACATACTTTTCTAATTCTATTATAGGCTTCTCTAATTCTATTATAGACTTATCTAATTCTATTACAGACTTAGCTAATTCTATTATATAACTCTAATTCTGTTAGAGAAGTCTGCAGTTCAATTATAGAGGTCTACAAATGTAACATAATATTGAGGTGTCTAGAGTTAGATCTATAATTGATATATGGAGGTTTCTAAATAGTAGAAGTCTCTAATTGAATTAGATGCCTCTCTAAATTGAATGAGAGACTTCCCTAAATAAGAGGTCATTATTATTATTGAATATGTGCAAAAATGGCAGCAGCCCATATTAATGATAATCTTATGCCTAATGATAAACCCATGCCTAATGATAAGGCATTGCTTGAAGACAAAGCCTTGCAGGATGATAACTTTACTTATAAGCCTTTTCCTGAAGACGATGCTTGATGGTAAGTCCTTGTTTCATAAGCTCAAGCTTGATAACTTCTTGTTTTCTGATGAGTCCGTGCTTGTTGATGAAACCATGCTTGATAACTTCATGCTTGATGACAAGTCCACACTTGCTGATCAGCTCACCTCCATTTGTAAAAAAAGACTTTTGCAAGCCTTTATTGACTGAAGCTTTAACAAGGCGTGTGTAGCCATTGGTTCATAGGCCTGATCCAGACTGTGACCTTGTTTTATTAACTTATTTGCATCATAGGCTTTAAAATTACTTATCCGTCCCACAGAAGTAGCGCAAGCCTGCTTTGAACCATCCTCTTGTTTTTACGTATTGCCAAGTGAATTTCTTATGGAAGAAATGACTGTTGTGAAGATACATTACAAATCCTGAAATATAGTAAAAGCAGTTGGGAAGTGGATTGAAGGAGAAAAAAGTTTTTTTTTTAGTTTATTTCTGTTTTAGGGGCAGGAAACACATCCACATATCACTTCTTTGGTTAGTACAAATTTGTTCCATTTGTTTTATATCAGTTGCTCTTTCCCATTAGCATTTTTTTCTCATTTTTTTAAAATTTTCAACTTTTATTATTCTTTTGCAGGATTATCACTGTAAATGTCATGCATACTTATATTAATATGAACACCTGTTATACTGCACATTACCTTGTTAACTAGTCTCTCCTTAGGGAAGGCAAAGATGTTTTTAAGGTAGGTAGCATCTTAATAGAGTCTTAAATATATGTTTAAAGCTAGGTTGCAAAGCCTTTTAGAATGGGGGTTCTTAAAATGCCAAATTCCTAATATGTGATCTTATATGAAGATTCACTGCACATACGGATGAATAGGAAGTAAGCAGACATATACAAGGAGAGTCTAAAGATAATATCTGATACTTTAGGGTTTTGAACATACAGTGTACACATAAACAGCAGAACTCTGTTGAGCATTAGTTTGTCTTTTTCTTTTTGTTTTATCAAATAGTAACATATAAAGGTTTTAACAGTTACAGGCGAATAGATCTCTCAGAATTATTATAAATTTTTAAGGCAAGAAAAAGGAAAGAACATGAAGAGGGTTGTGAAGAAGACCAACAGTGTCCAATGTGAAGGTAAAAAGATGAAGGAAACAACTTTTTCTGAAAATGAAAATGCTCGATACAACCACTTTTCTGGACATGCTCTCAGGCCTAAGCCGCAAGAAACTGTGCTGTTTCAGATAATGCAAGTCAGTGTAGATTCACAAGAAGATGGTGAGAAAAGTACCAAGACTAGAACCAGCAACCAGGATAAGACGAAAAGAAATGGCCGTGAGTAATTAAAAACATTTTAAAACTTTTACAGGTTGGTTATTTGTTATGGGTTTAACACCATTCTCAGCACATGATAGGCTGTACATGGTGGCCAGTACAACTGGTAGAGGAAGAACCTGGGAAAACCCTGAGAGAAACCACTGACTAAAAGGGAAGCTACTGGAAAGCTTTCTCACATAGCCATGTTGGCAGAGCCTGAGACTTGAATTAATTTGGAGGCTGAGGTAAGATGTTCATGATCTGTAACGACAAACACCTTATACAAATTTAGTAACCTAGGTGCTCCTCTTTATTGACAACAAGTAAAATATTGTTCATGTGAAGGCAAAAGCAATATTTTCAATAGATATGTAGGAGACCACAGAAAAAATCCTAACTCATTTTCATTTTATGGTTTGAGAAAATACTTGTTTTAATGGACATAGATAAGATAAGACAAGATAAGAATTCTTTATTTCAGACTGCATAGTATGCATCTAAATTAAAACATTATTTAGAAACAGGACTGAAATTATGGGATCATTGCAAGCAATTCCAAACATTGAGTGATGTCTGACCATCATATCACTCCAGCATGAGTAATAATAATAGTGTTTTAGTTAGAAATTCACAAAATATTGTAATTATTTTGCCTCTGGTAACCATCTGCTTGTGGGGTCTCCTTGGATCCTAGGCCAGATTCAGTGGGATGAATAATATGGGCAAAGTGTTAAACTAGAGCTAATTCCATAGCCTACCATGGCCATTTTCCATGCTTGTTTCATATTACATACTTTTTGGTTCTATGACTTTAAACCCTGTGTTGTGGGGCCATTGGGCTAAAGGTTTTGAGAGTGCCAAAATCAGACTTGTAAGGGTGCCAAAATGCTAATGGCCCTATCTGCTTTATACCTGTCACTAATTCACTGTTTGATCCATATTTTGTAAACCAATATTGGTAACAGAATGTGTGTTCTTGTGTTGAGAAAGATGGCATGTTTACAGTTAGTAACAAAAATACTTCATTTTGTAACTCTACTGGTTATATATTAAAAGAGCCTATGTGATGGCCTGTCGTCTGCTGATTATTATCCATCTGTTTTTCCTAAGCTGCTTGGAGGATTGCAAAAAAAACACTACAGAT